AACGAGTGCCACAAAGAGTTCCGCTATTGGAATGATTTGCGACAACACAAGCGAAAGACACACTCTTTAGATGTCTGACATCACCTCTCGATCCTCTATTGGCATCGATTCTCACTTTGTATTTATGTTATCAATTGGTCTCATATATAGTGCACTCAAATGTTATCTCATTTATAATTTTAATGTAAACTATTTATATATTTAATTGTTTTAGACTTTGAATAAAAAGTTCTCAAAGAATGTGAACAAAATGATGAAAACTTATGGATCCCTGGAATTGTTAAGTCATTTAGTCTTAAATGACGACAACTCTCTCATCAATGCTGTTGTCTTCGCAGACAATAAACGCAAAACTCTCTTCAATTATCACTACCAACACTTCCCATCAATTCTTCCACAACTCTTACACTCGTCTCAACTCATATTTATATCAATCCTTGTAATCGACATCTATTTTATTACAACTATTCAATTATAGTTAGTTTTACAAAACTTTATCAAAGTTTTATACATTTAAAAGTTTTAACAAGTTATTTAATATTTACAATTAAGTCAATGGTTTAACATTCAGTTTCAATCAATCTTTTAGTATATGTAATGGGTTTTTAGAGTGTAGTCTATGTGTCCATCACTTCATTATTAATTATAGATTAGGTATTAGTTTTTGATAAAGTTTTGTCCGAAAACTACGGATTCACTCTTTGCGTGTGATTGCGTCTCTTCTTCTTCAAACTCTTCTTTGATGTCTTCAGTTTCAGCCATAGTTGCCATCGATTTGGATGTTTTACTCGATGTATGCATCACTTGATTATTATTGTTTGTTGTAGTTTTTGATGCCGTTTTGTCGGAACCGACCGCTGATCCACTCTGTGATTGTGTCTCTTCTTCTTCAAACTCATTGATATCTCCAGTTTGAGCCACAGTTGCCGTCGATTTTGAAGTTTTACTCGACGTCTCAATCAGTGGTTTAGTAGATGTCATGGGTTTTGAGGGCAGAATCGATGTCTTCATCACTTGATTATTATTGTTTGTTATAGTTTTTGATGCCGTTTTGTCGGAACCGACCACTGATTCACTCTGTGATTGTGTCTCTTCCTCTTCAAACTCATTGATATCTCCAGTTTGAGCCACAGTTGCCATAGATTTTAAAGTTTTACTCGACGTCTCAATCAGTGGTTTAGTAGATGTCATGGATTTTGAGAGCAGAATCGATGGCTTCATCACATGATTATTATTTATTGTTATAGTTTTTGATGCCGTTTTGTCGGAACCGACCACTGATTCACACTGTGTTGTTATCTCTTCCTCTTCAAACTCTTTGATATCTCCAGTTTGAGCCACAGTTGCCATAGATTTTGAGGACAGAGTCGACGTCTCCATCACTTTATTGTTGATTATTGTTATAGTTTTTGATGCCGTTTTGTGGGAACCGACCACTGATTCTTCACACTCTGTTTGTGTCTCTTCGTCTTCAAACTCTTCTTTAATTTCAGTTTTCATATTTGATTTGTGATCCAATGGAGCGGTTGTTAGCGTCCATTCCTGTGTTGTGGTCTGCGGTTCATCACAAGACTCGGTGACAATGAAATCAAACGACGACTCATTGTCTTCAGCTATCGGTTTCTCTGTGAACATCGAGTTTGAGACAAAGTTTTATTTAATTCACTCAACAATTTAGTATCAAATATGCAAATGTTGTCAACAAAACACATACCACTCATCGGTTTATCGGCCACTTTCGGTTCTCGATTCTTAATTTTCATATTCAAATCCATTTCCTATTTTTGGACACAAAATAAATACAGATATGAATTGAATCAACAATTTTGCGGATCAATTGAAATGAATAAACAAAGACAATACCAAACATTTGGGAACCGGTGTGACAGTGATATCAAAGGCCAAGCCTTTCATATCCATAGTAAACGGCTTTATAGTTAACTCAAACTCTCTGTGAGGGATATGTAAATCGGTTTCTTTCGGTGTCATCTGTCGTACCATTGAATCCAAAGTTAAACAAAAAACAAATTATAAATCGGCAAAGAAGTGAAACTGACGGGTCATCGGAGGTAAAAGTGATTACCGTATTATAGTTGAGAGTGAATGGGTTGGGAGGGCTGACAGTGACCACAACCGTCGGTTGCGTAAACTCAGTGATGGGACTCAAACTCATATCAGGGATGGGTTTGATAGTGAAGTCAAACCCATTGTATCGTTTGATACCCGGGAAGAAGTCGTCGTCATCGACGACGGGCTGCGGTCGACACCACACACCCCACGGACCAGACACTGTCCACACCACCAATGCCTGCGCCAAACACAGCAAATACAATGACATTTCAGGAAAAACTTGTTTAATTGTTGTGTTTGTAATGCAAACTTAATTAATGGCATTTAATTATCATTTTGTTACAACATTTTGAAGCAAATACTTTTTAATAATTTTTTAATAAGTTTTTTGTGCACATAATGTGTAAAATACTGATTCAATTGATTGGTTCCGTCACTGAGTCTAGCATCAAATGGCTTTGGAAGTGTTGAATGTTGCTTTATTCAAAATTGTAAAAATAACTATTGGGATATGATAAAGTATTTTAAATACACATTTAACCAATTAATTATAAATTAATATAATAACAAATATTTACCAAATAATCATATCTCGATATAAGTCCAGTTTAGGTGCGACTATCTTTATGGTAAACTACTGTATCTTATCATAAACTGATGCAACAATTAATGCAATACATACTGTCTGACAATTTAATGACAGAGGCTGTAAATGCTCTCTATGGGCACAGGGATGACACCGGGAGGATATTGTATCTTATGTTCACTATTTACATGGATTTTATGTTTAGAAATTATATGATAAGTATAAACAAATTGAATAAACATAATATAAAAATTAACTTGTTAAATTACAATTAGAATAATGCGCTAAACATAAGTGTCAATCAATTAAATACATGTATTAACGATAGGTTTGGGTAAGTATCTGACAATTCTACTCATATGCCTGTTATTAGTCTTTTTATTAAGTGACAATTTTTATCAAAAATTTTTAGATAAATTTAATCACAAAATTAACTGATTATAACTAAATACTATAATACTATGCTTTCATTGCCATGTGTTTAATAATAATACTTCAAATTTTTATATAAATAAGAAATAAAGTTTTTAATTCTATCATTTGTTAAAAATATTTGTTGCAAAAACTTATATAATTACACTATAAAGCTATGGGTTTATTGCCTGCGGGAGAACAGCTTAATTTCCAGGATAGCCAGCGACACGCGGAACACATCCGAAGACAAGGAATTAAACAATTTATTAATATCTATAACCGGAATAAAGACCGAATCGACCGATGCTTCAAATGGGGCGATGAGATGGAGTACACGATCGTCCGCTTTGACCACAACAGCCATAAGGTTAGACTTAGTCTTCGGTCCGAAGAGTTACTCCACATTATGTATGAGAGGGAAGAGAGAGAAGGAAAGAACCAACGGGTGCTTTGGAGACAAGAGTCTGGCTCTTTCCAGATCGAGGCCACACCCGGACAGCCGTACGGCTATAATAGTGACCTCAACGACAAGAATTCAATGAATAATCTGTTTAATAACGTGGAGAACCAGATGAGAGAACGACGTCTGGATATCCGGGGTTTGCTCCACGAAGACGAGGCAATCCTATGTCTGACAAATTATCCTAGGTAAGTCTTGCGAGAGGTTTTTCAAGTTTTTTTCATTTAAATGTTAACCAATTTTAAAATATAGGATGGGATGTACGGACACAACAGTGCCCAACACTAAACCCGATCCGTTGAACAGTGTCTCCGGCAGTATATTCGTGTCGGACGATCACATCAGTCACTTAAACCAGAAGTACTTTATTATCGAAAAGTATTTTAATGAACGCGTCGGCCATAAAGTGGCCATAAATGTGCCCATTTTTAAGGACACCAAAACTCCCGACCCATTCATTGAGTTCTTCGGCCACAAGGAAGCGATGAGAGCGGCAAAAGTGGACCACATTTATATGGACTCAAAGATTTTTGGCAACGGTTGCTCCTGCCTGCAGGTGTGACTAACAATACAATCAAACTTACCATGATGATTCTTAGATAAATGTTTTCAAATAAACTTGGTAAATTAAAATTAGACTAAATGTTGACATTAATTATACATTAGGTAACAATGCAGGCGACGGACGTGAACGAGGCGTTCATACTATACGACCAGTTGGCGCCGTTAACCCCCATAATGATGGCATTGGGTGCGTCGACCCCTATATATCGGGGCTATTTGTCGGACAGAGACGGCCGATGGGACGTCATTGCGGACTCACTCGACGACCGCACCCCTGAGGAGAGGGGAGAGAAGCCGTTGAAACACAACAAATACCGGATCCAAAGGCCCCGGTATTCAGCGATAGGCGCCTATCTGTGCGAATCAAACCAATCATACAATGACAGTCCGATTGCCTATAATACAGATTATTACAATGAGCTGATCGGGTCTGGAGTGCCGTCACCGCTGGCCCAACACATCGCCTATTTATTCATAAGGGATCCGATCCTCATATCGAGTGAAAAACTGGATCAAAACCCGGAGACAGAGTCCGATCACTTCGAGGCCATACAGGCGACAAACTGGCAGTCCCTGAGGTTTAAACCGCCGCCACTTAACCAACCGGCCATCGGCTAGAGAGTGGAGTTCCGGCCGATGGAGATCCAGATGACGGACGCCGAGAACGCGGCCTTCGCTGTCGTCACTATATTATTGTCGAGAGTTATATTGAAATATAAACTCAATTTCGTTATCCCTATCACTAAAGTAAGACATTATTTACAGTTAATTACAATATTTATTAATATTTCTTAATTAACGGATAGATTGATGAAAACATGTCAACCGCTCAGAAGAGGGATTCAGTAAATCGGTGTAAATTCTGGTTTAGAAAAGACATCTTCACCCCAAATACACCGCTATTTGTGAACGGCTTTAATGATAATCACGTCATATATGATGTCGAGGAGGAATCATATATAGAGATGTCCATCAATGAGATAATGAATGGTTACGATCAAGAATTTCCGGGTTTAATACCACTAATAAAGGATTATGTAAACAGCATAGCACTGGACGCCCAGACCTACGGTAAAGTTCAACAATATATCCAATTAATTGCCGACAGAGCGTCGGGCAAACTCCCGACACCCGCCCAATGGATACGAGATTTTGTCCGAAAACATAATACCTATAAATATGATTCTGTAGTCAATGAGAACATTACTTATGATTTGTTAAACACTTTAAATCGTATTCAAAATGAATGCCTAAGTGTTAATGAATTGGTTAAGAATTAAAAAAATTAAATGATAAATTAAAATAAATCCTATTTAAAAATGGTTTTATTTAAAAGTTATTTATTGATGTAATAATATAAATAAAATTATGTTTTGAGTTTCTAATTGACGTAATTTAAACATTAATGTGGTTTTAGATAATAATTTACAACTTATACAGTATTAGTTTTTTTTGAAAAATTGTAAACATAAACAAATTTATATTTATTTATAAAGTTAATGTAAGTATTTTTTAGTTAATTATCTATAAAAATTGATTTATAAAAAATGAATTTAAAAATCTAATATAAAAATTCAGTGCAGCTGTATTCATTTTTATATCATTAATTATATTTTAATTATTTCTTATATTTTTAAAAATATTTTTATAAATAACTAAAAAATTATTTTGTTTTTCTTTTGTATTATTTGACGTAAATGTATTGATTTTATCATTATCTCAATATATTATAAATCATTAAACTTTATGCATTTACAATATTTAAAAATAGTTTAATAGTAAAAACTTGAAAATACTACGGCACAAATCCAAATAATTTATAACATAATTTTATTAAACATTAAATTAACAATTATGTCGTTTATGAAAGTAATATCACCTGAATTATATACGCCGACTGTCTATCAGAATCGTTTCAATCCAGTAAAACGAAACGTTCAAAACCTAAAACAAAAAGTTGATCATAAAATTGCTAATTATATCAATAATAGTGCCGACGATTTGCGTGGATTTAAACACATCGAGGACTTTATGTACAAATTTTGTGTTATAATTTCACCGACATTTAGCCATTACGCCAATCGGCAATCATTGGACGCAAACAGATTTTATATAATCTGTGCCCTAAACCTAATGGATTGGTTAATGTTGTGCCGGTTTGCAGCACTCGCCTACTTTGACAGCCCCTGGATATGGACCCTATTTGGAGACACTTTCTACTACTGGGGCTCCAGTCGGTTACTGTACG